TGAGGATTTGGGCCCACAATTTGCTAAGACAAGTAAGTGTAATGAGAACAGACAATTTATATCGATTACGAGGCTGGTAAAAAGCTTTTGAGCATTCAAAAATTGGCTGTGATGTAGCTCAAAAATACAGGCAATTTTATTAAAAAGGAGTCACATTTTGAGTTGAATGACTTTATGACAATATAAATCCATGTTGCTGTGGTGTTAATATCTCACTGACCCAGACCTAAACAACCAGTGTTTTCACTGGTGAAAAAGTTACTGGCTTGAAAATTAATGATTAATTTTATATTAAGTTTGGGAGAATGAGAACAGTGAAGTCAATAGCTCTAGCAAACATCATGATTTCCATATCACATTTAATTAATATTATTATGTTTTTAAAAAAACACATTAAACCTCTCTTATAAATATTACATAATGGACTGAGTTACTATTTGCTGTAGGATATTTTTTCTTCATAATTTCCTTCTGTCCTATCTATTGACATGTTAATAGACAGCTCAGGGACACGGACAGTGAAAACACACAGCCAGTTAGACACAAGCAGCACAACTGGTAACTGTGACAAGCAGAATCAGATCTGAGGTGATATTTTTGCAGAGTGTTACACCACACTGGAGTAGTTACTCACTTTTAGTGAGCAACTTTTAAGTGTTTGTCAGCTACTGCAATTGAAAGGGGAACACAAATGTTGTGACAAGTGGTGATATTTTTGCTTTAAGTATTTCCATAAGTTAGAGAGACGGAGCTGAGAAATCTTTAATGTAGAGGTCTTCTAGTATATATTTGTTATCTGCTGACTTTCCTTGTGCTGAAGGTCAGAAAGTTTGAAATTCCAGAAGGAAGTTTGAAATTCAGAGGAAGGGCTGCATCATGCCTTGAAGACAGATTCCTCACTGGGGAGGCAGGGTCCCTGCCCCATTTCTGGCACACAAGAGCCCATCTCCCTCGACCTATTAATGCAAGGGCAGAAGAGACTCTGCTGCAGCCCATTCCCAATGTAACACCAGTTTGGCAAGGGCAGAAGCAGCCCTTGTGCTCTGGGAGAGTACAGGCTCAGCAGTGGCACTTATCTCTTCATCTGCTCAGTCACTTCATGAGCTTTCACTCACGGTAGCCTGCAGACAGGCCAGGAATTCTGCATCATTTTTCTGTAGATCCAGGGCCTGTCTAGCAATCACAAGCCACTGCATTATTTATAGAATGCAGACTGCTCTCTGCTTCTTAAATACAACCCATCCTAGTCTGAACACCTCTTTAAATTGAATATTGTCTTATGCACTTTGATTGTGTGTGGAAATATACTGCTTCAAGGTAAAAGGAGAGGAGTTGAATTATTATCCTGAGGGCTGTTTGTACACTTCCATGATCCACCCACTCATTTTACCTTGAGGGTGAAGTGAATTGCATGGGCTGGTCAAGAACAGAGCAAAGCAGTCAAGTGCTGACTGACAAGGTTGCCCCTCCTAAGTGCTGGCTCTGAGCTCTGATCTCTGAGCACTATTGACACTCGGCAGTGAAGCAGAACTGCTGACGTTCCTGCTGGGCTCCACACAGAAACCTGAACATCACCACTGCATTCTCAAATCGGAGCCAGAGTTCAAGGAAGAAAATTTAAAGCAGGGATTTTCATCTTAAATGAAAGATGTTTTCACTGTGGCTCCTATTCAGTACCATACTCAAACTTTAACCTAACTTTTAACATTGCACCTAACTTTAAACATTAAACCCCTATTGTGTACCGGAAAGTTAGAAGTCAGCTTTGTGATTGAACTTAGCTTGCTGAACTTAGGCCTATATCAAGAGAGAAACCTCTAAAGCACTTCTCTTTATTAAAAATGTATTTCTACCAAGAGTTTATATGTTCCAGATATGGCAGCAGACCACATTTCTTAAAAGTTACCTCATGCTCTCAACCTTCCTAATGACACTGTAAACCACAAGTTATCAAACTAGATTTAAAGTGTGTGCATATAGAAAACTCCATTACAAAGAGAACTATCACAACTGACCTGGCCATTCCTAACTTTATTACAGAAGAAAACCAAATATGTATGCATGTGTATCTACATATCTGTATGCATTTCATTTTTAAAAAACAAAGGGCAAATTCCTGGCCTTTGGAAAATTATTACCTTTCCATGTATTTCAGCAGGGCAGGATTTCTCATATTTCTCATCAGTAGTTTGATCTCTAACCTGATTTCCCTCTGAATGTGGTTTAAACTTTACCCAGTTCTTTTTCTTCCCCCTACTTCTTGTTTTATAAAACAAACATAATTAACTGTGATTATTTTTGAAAACTTTACATTTACACAGGAATGTTTCTTTTTTTTTTACCTTCATTCACTGGAAATGTGTCTTTATAAGTTTTAGAACTATAGTAGAGCATTAGCTATAAATAAAATAGTTATTTTTCATTAATCCTCTGAGGTGCACTTGAAAGTTAAAGTAATAATAAAATAATCAACAAAAAAAAATTTAAATACTTAGGTGTGCTTAAGAAAAAAGCCCAAACATCAAAAATAAAGAGAAGAGAAAATATGCAAAAAGTGAGTGTTAAAAATGTTGCTGCTCTTAGAACTTGCTTGTGAGAGTAATAACATTGCCCAATGTTAAGGAGCAATGGAGCAAGCCACAGATGGGCACGTGATGGGCACATCTCTGTAAGGACTCTCACCACTGCCAGATGCTGCTGCTGCTGCTGATATAAAAGGGAGAAAATCAGAGATGGAGGAAGCACAGACTGTAAACTTAATGCAATGCTTTAAAAGAAATTGAGTGGGATGGATCCTTAGCCACCCAGTTCATATGTTATGGAGAACTTTGTGTAAATTTTCCAGCTTTTCCACTGAATACTTCTCCCAACAGCATGAGGTGTATGTGGAGTAGGAGTGGATGGCTGAGTCAAGTGCATTGGAAATGGGGTAATAAAGAAACAAAAATGTTATACCTGGGTAGGTACGGAAGAGGAAATCAGCACTGGAAGGATTTTCCTGTAAAGGGGATACTGTCAAAGGGTTACCCATCAGTGGAAAGTCATCCTTTATTTCTAGTACTGGTTTACAAAGGCAAAGTGCCATCAAAACTTATGTGGGATACCTTTGTATGTCATCTGTGCGGCATGCAGGTGGATATATGGAAATAATGCTGAAAAGCATAGACATGCAGATCCTTAGACCTTTTGAAAGCTCTGGTTTAGATGTGGGCAGGGAAATGACCCTTTGCTTCCTCAACCCTCTGAAGTCACATTCTGACTCCAGGGTGGACAAATCACCACCGTCAGCTGCTAAATTAATTGAACCAAAAACTGAGGGAGAGGGACCCACACTTCACCCATTCCACATGCATGAAAGTTCAGGAAGTGGGGGGAGGGAATGGGAGGCTTCCTGATCTGCCAACTAGACCACTCTGTGAACACTTTCAAACAACACACCTTCAAATCCTTGTCTAGACATGGCCTTATGCAAGCCACAGATAAGAATCAGCCCCTGAATGGGTGTTTTGTTATATAACCACCCATGAGGCACAGGGAGTTAAACATTTGCAGTAGTTTGTAACATTCCTAAAGCATTACGTTTCCAGCAAAGTGGATTATCTTGTCTCATTTTTCTCTGATGAACAATCAACTTCGATCTTGACACATGAATTTATTATGCATGGGTTAGACAAACTGAGCCTTAATAAGCTGCAGTTAAAAACCTCACTTTGTGTTTGTGGAGAGAAAACTCAGCTCCTAGGCTGCCTCACAGGGATATGAAAACAAAATCAGGCTTCTCTACCCTCGTCCAGCTCAGGTTGGATGTCTATATACCAAAGATGTGGTTTTTTTTATAGATTTTGCTAGATATTTGATTGCTTTGTTGGAACAGTTCCACAGTAGCTGACTGAGCTGACCTCCAGATGTATCTCCTCCAGGGCATTATGTTCTGTTTCGCATTATCAGCTGCATGCTCCAAAGGTTAGGTTGTGAGAGCTTGGGTGGGGCTTTTAAATCCTTCTTCCATCCCAGCAATCCTGATGTGCCTGTTCTCCTCTTCTTCCGTGGTTAATTCTACCCAACAGTGGAAGAAACACAATACAAACTCAGCTTGATTTAATAATTGCAGTCATGATTTATGTGCAACGGTGTCACTTCACTGAGCATTGATTTGATAGATAATGGAAAGCATGTGCCTGTCTTATTTGGAAAGTTTATTTGACACTACAGATTCTTGAAGGAATGTGCAGAAACTTCTAAATATATGGAACAAACTCACCTGGTGTAAATCAGGTGTCTGAATTGACAAGAGCAGTAATGGGTAAGGCAGTAATTAGTATGCATAACTATTTCAAGGTGAGTAAAGTAATACAGTTCCAGGGCCCAGAGTGTCGTTGATTTACGCCAGCTGAGGATATGGCCCGTAGAACTGACAAGAAATGGCTATGACTACTAATTACTGAAGCTGCTAATGTATTTCAGCTGGTACTAACTGGTTTTATGTCACTGGAAAATTACAGAAGTGCTAATTCTTGCAGATCAGACACCAACCTGTGTGTGCAGGTTTTTTTGGTCAAATGTCCAGAAAAGTGGGGCTGCATTTTGTGCAGTGACTATTCTTGCTAGCATTAAACCCTGATCAGACTTCTCACTAACTTGGGTATCCTCCTTACAGTTTGCACTCTCTTCTTCCCAGATTGAGGCAGGATGAAAAGCTGATTCTTTGGTTAGCCTTCTGGCATGGTGTGGTGATGCATTTAGGATGCTTTTGACGCTATTACAATTTCAGGTGGTCACTCAGGAAGAAGCAGCTGGTCAGTACAGAACACTTCCATACTTGGTATTTGCTGTGCTTTATAAGTAGCAAGAGCTGAAAATGTGTGGGAATTGCTTTAAACTCAATGGGCTCACACAGTTTCTAATTTATGTAGAGGGTATTGAGGGTTATACTGCATACCATATTTTGTCCTGTCAGATTTATGCCTCTGATCACTTCAGTCACAGGTATGTCTTTCCAGGGATTCAAATCATCACTGAAGGTAAAAGCCCTCTCAGACATGAGGACACCAAAGTCCTTCAGAGCATGGCCATATGGTGAGTGAACATTCTTTCCCAGCTTCTGTTTTGTTCAATCCAGGGCGTATGATATTTTGAAATGCAAGAATTTTTTTTTTATTCCTGGATCAAGTTTCTTTAGAACATCATCGGTAACTGTAGGCATAATTGCCAGTGGGACTTGACCATGCAAGAACATTTAGAAGGATTTTTGAGAATGAGGTCTCTGCCCTGTCTTTACTGCCACTGACACAAGAACAGTGAAACTCCTTGGAAATGTTCAGCTCTAAGACATTTTTCATGTACTAGTGTGCTCAGCATATACAGAATATTGTGGGAAATAACTCAACCTTTGTTGCTACTTCCCTGCAAGGAAGTTCCCTTTGTAGTTTTAGGCTGGAAGACAAACAAGTGAGCCCAAGACTTTTCATGTTCACAGAGTAACTTTTATTTACATAGTCAGTAACCATGGAAAGCAGATGGTTACAGAAATGTGGGCAACTCCTTTACCCTCCATTCCCAGTTCAGCACTAGTGGATAAAAGTAGCATTAACTCTAAAGCTCAATGTAGTGCATGTGGTAAGAATTAGATGGGAAAATTCCCCTTAAAGAAATAGAGTTACAAATCTAACAATTTCTATTCTCAAGACTAAAATTCCTGTCCACAAGCCAACAACAGGAAAAAAAATAAACATCTCTGCACCTTCTTGTAACCTGTACTAGAAAAATATAAATGAAGAGATGATCGAATAAGGTTGTGATATTTTCTTGCTTTCCCAGTCTAAACAATACCTAATATTAATTGTGGCAAGTATTTTCGTGCTAATATCTCCTCCTCTTTCAATTGACAGGCTCTATTGTGTTATAATGTTAATCCATTTTGACAATACAGACAGGATATCTTCATAAAAAACAGATCTCAACAAGACTTTCTGTTGACCTTTACCACATAGCTAGGTTATTTTCATAATTTACCTTGATTATCCTCACTTCAGCTGTAGCTACAGTACTTTAGAAAAAATTCAACTAAAACCAAACTGGCCAATTAAAAAAAATCATCTCAGATTTAAGATGCTACTTGATCAGATGTTTTGAGTTTTAAATTGCTAAGTTTGTTACAGTTTACTTGTTTTAATATTATTCAACATTGCTGTGCATGTTTTTACTAACACAACTGCTAATAAATCATTATAAAAGAAGAAAAAGTACTATTTGGTATTAAGTCAGACTGCTTTTTTAATCCATTTTTCTTTCTTTCTTGGAGTTGTTTAACCATGGGGTTGGCTCTGGCAACATATAAGTACCTAGACTTTAAATAACAGCTCTTGTCCAAGCTATTGCATTCGTCCATCAGATCTCTTACATTTTCCTTATTCTTACATAGAAAATAAATATATTAGGCCTGGTTCTTCATTGTCTACTTTGTGAGTAGTCATTATGCTCTTGCAAGAAAAACACAACATGAAAGGAAAAAAAATCTGATTGGTAGCACAATGGATTTGTTTTGAACTCACCACAATAATTACACAAGGTGATGAGTGATGAAGAATCCAGCTCATTATTGCTAAGAAGCACCTATCTTCTAGCTAGTACTGCATATCATAGATATAAAGGCCCTGGTTTATTACAATGATTATTATTAGTCCAGTTGCCAATCCAAAGATCATATTTGATTGTCCCATGTGCAGCAGAATACTAATCTATTTCCCTTCTTCATTCTTCCTCTATGCTTGTATAGACAGGTACATTAATCTACTCTGCCAAGAACGATCTTTTTATCTATGCAGAACTGAAATGATTCTTCCCTCTTATCAGCATTTTCCTATATGCAGAAGATAAAGCAAAAATGTTTCCTCACCCCATGTTTTTGTCAGTTCTCTGCTTGGAGGGTGATCAGATCATTTTTAATTGCATACAGAGCAACAAATATCTGACGTTTGCATTTGAGTGACTAAGAACTGAATTTTGTTGACAATATTAATGTGCTCTTCTGTTTAATGTCTATCAATTTTTAGACGTTTAATCAGATTAACACTTTGCTGAGGACTCACAGGTATACCTCATTCTGACAATACTCAATGTTTGTCATTCACTAGATAGCACCAAGCTAAATTCCTCCACCTGAAAGATTCTGCATGTGTCACGTCCCAGGGTATCCAGGAAAGCAGCAGTGCAAATAGATCCACTTCTTAGCAAGGAGGTTTCAAAAGACAGGATGATCAAACAGCTTGCTGGTAAGAAAAAGGGGCAGTTCCACTCATCCTCTTCCCTTTCCTCAGGCACTGCTCTTATCTCCTGTCAAACAGGCTAAGCATGGTGAAATGGCCAAATGAATAATCTTCTGGGGGCCTAGTGACCTCACGGGAGGAATTTTACCATCGTCTCTCTGGAAGACAGGATCAAGCCTGTAGGGGCACTCTGAAGTAATTTAGCTGTGGGAGGAAGAATCTAAACTTATATGATCCTCAGCTTGGCTGGAGGGACAGGTTTTCATGCAAAATTTTCATGAAATTTGAAACGGTGTAAAATTTTCTTTTGACAGTGTTTAGCTGTTTGATTCATGTTTGATATTTACCTAGGGCTCTAACTAAAAGAGAGAAAAATGAATGAAGAGGATCTCATCTGCTTGTTAGCCCATGAGTCAGCGTGATAAGATGCAAGGTGTGACCCAAGTGCATTTTTGGGTGACATGTTAAAGCAAAGTTCTGACCACTTTGCTCATTAAAGATCCCACTGCAGTAATTATATCAGTAAAGTGTGTTAACTCTGATGGCCTGGCCAGATGCCAAACTTCAAAATTGCATTCTCCCATCTTTCTTTCAAGTGGACATTCTAGTCTTCATTTCCTCTCCAAAACAGCTCTCTTATTCTAGACTGCTAAATCCTTCCTGTGTTTCACCACAAAGTTTCAGCACTGTAATAGATTAAACAACAATTAAATGGTTTCTGTATCAACTTGTAAAGCAAGGGAGTATTTCACAAGATGAAAAGCAGTATAAAAATGTAAACTACTAATAGTTTTGGGCCTGCTCACTGCAATACAAAATTTGGCCAGTGGCAAAAAGTAGTCAGCTGAGGGAGAGTTGAGTGGCTCCATTACCCACTGATGTGCAACATTTCTCCCAGTATGTTCAGTGTCATGAATGCATAAGTTTGACCTAAAAATCAGATCTTTATGTACATTGTGGTACTGGCTCAGCTTTCTTTTTTTAGGTCAGATTCTCAACAGATTTGTGCTGCAAGCAGTTACAAGTTCTGCTTGAGAGACACTTGTGTTAAAAACAAAAAAAACAGGTAGTATTTGGGCTTTTTGTATGCACTTGGTTGCCTGTGTGGGCTCTATGCAGGAGAGTAATTTCATAAAGGACACAAACAAGGCATCTGTGTTAAAGTTCTCCCCTGCCTAATGCTAACACTGGGTGTTTAGAGAGAGAACATAAGAGGAAGACACACCTGTAGCAGTATTTCCCCTGGCAGTATCTCCCCAGATTCTCCCCCTACTAGGCTGTACAAGAGAAACAATACACAGGATTGTGGCATGAAGAAATAATATACAGATGTAGCTGACACTGAAAATGCGATTTGCATAATATGGTAATGTATGCATTATAGTCCCAACTACATACGTGATCAAAGCATCCATTGTAAATGATAATGCAAATTAATTTTAGGCTCATTATTATTAATTGAACCTGAACAGAAATCAGATTCAGTAAAAATAGAATAAAGAAACAAACTGAAACTATTTAGGGAAACAGACATTAATGTGATTATTCTCTCTCACTTACAGTTTGGCACATGCTCCTTCTGCCTGTATTGCTCCTTCTGCCTTCTCTGGTACGATTTCACGTAGAAATTCTCCTTTATTCTGCAGTTCGTTCTTGTGGTTTCTCTTTTGATGTTCGTGTCACTCAGCACACTTTCTTAGATGTATTATTAAGGTCTGCATGGTCTAATAGGTTGCCATTACCCTAGGCTTTATTCATTCATTTTCCAAATTAAATCAAGTTTGGGCATGAATAATGTTGATAGGGACATTTGCGTAAACTAAGTTTGTTGCTCCAGTAATGGGGTTGCTTTTGTGAATTAATGGGTCATTTGTTTTTAAAAACAGAACACCGGCATGTTCCTGATGTTCCTGCCCCTTCTAATAACTCTGTAATGGTGATCTTTTGTCTTGTTATAATGGTTTCTAGTTTCTGCAGTGCCTGGAGATAAGAGAAGGAGAAAACTCTAGGATCTTGCCATTACCCAGTACTGAAGTTCCTGTCCTAAAGTGGGTTTAAAATTATTTAATCATGTAATGTAATAAAATCCTGATTTTTGCTAAATATTTACATCTGGTGAGACTACTGGTTTTTTCCTAGACAGTATTAGAATGTGATCTTCAGTGACTACAAAATTATTTAGCATTGATAGCTCTCAACTGTAAGAAGTTCATGGTTAGTTTCCTGAGAATTAAAGCCACCATTAAGAGATGAGCATCTTTTTTTCTCCCTGTGAATATTTGAACTTAATAATAAACATACTTTCGTGCATTGGGCAAAGACTCCATGCAGTTGTAGACGCAAAACAATATTAAATTTCTTCCTAAATTGAGGAAGCCAAAGATGACAGATAAAGTTTGTGATCTCATTTCTAGGAACATTCATCTGTCTCTCCTTAGTAAAATCTTAACAAATTCACTCTGTCATTTTAAAGGAAATGCCATTTTAAGTAATAATTAATCTTACTGTTATTATTTTCTTTATTACAGTTCTTGTGATTTATTTATATGTGGCATTGTAAGAAATGTTAACACAACAGCATCTTTTTTTTTTTTTTTTTTTGTATGGTTCATACTATATTGATACTTATTACTGCAGTGACATTGCACAGAGCTTATTATGTTTATATCATGGGATGTATTACTTCATACCCAATCACTTTCCTAAAATAATTTTGGAAAATGTGTTGAGCACTGCTGCATTTATTTCACAGTGGCTACCTTTGAACCAACAGGACCAATATAAATATAACATATATATATATATAAAGAGAGAGAGTGTGTGTATATGTATATAAATATGTGTATATATCCTCTGATCCATTATTGCCTACATCAGCTACAGAGAGCAAAGGTAGAGTGAAAACTGGAAGGCTAAAGGGAGGTATTTTGTCCCTATCCTTCGGTAGCTGCTTACACTTCTACTATCCTGTATTTCAGATGTTCTCACCCTGACTCCTTCAAGACAGATACATGCAAGGAAAAGCTGAAATACTTTTCCCATTGTCCAACATACAAAACATTTTGCTGGGGAAGTCCTGGTTACCAAGTGTGTCTGCAGAATGTGCAGACACTAGCAGCAGTAGAGCATGCACAAAAGATTGGCTTTGTCTCCTTTATTCAAGATAAATTCACATTTTAGTTCATGTGCACTCACTGAAGTCAGCAGGGCTCGAAGCAGAGTATGCAGATATTGATTATGAATCCTGGACCAGAATCTCTCACTCTTCCCAAATTCCACACTTTTCAGAAATGCTGGTCACCATTTCAACAGCTCTAAAACTGGATGTTGCAGGTGTCTCACTTTGACAGCTGCAATTTTACTGATGCTGTGCAGCACAGGATGCCCACTCTCATTACGTTTCAAGGCACAGGAAATGCAACTCAGTATCTGAATGCATAAGAAGGAAGGAGCTTTTTAAAGTTCAAGGTAAGTGCCATGATTTTTAAGTTGTTGGAGGAGAAGAGAGCATTTAATGGATCCTTTACTTAATTTTGAAACTTGCTTTCCATTTTTAATGTTTCCTACAGGATTCAAGAAGCCTGTTGACACCAATACACGCTGGCATATAAAAATAAATTACAGACTTTAATATTTACATGTGCTGGCTTCCAACCCCCCAAAAGCCTGCACTGAGGAGGTTCACAAATGGGAAGTGAAGAACTGCCAGGCACTTGTATCCTTATTGTGAAGACTGACTGAAGAGAAGCATGCCAAACACAAGGTGCTGCATATAAACCTTTGAATCAGAATGGGTAACTACACAAATGATAAACAAAATAAAAATATGCTAAGAAATATGCATGTGTTCACTACACTCAAAATTAGTCTGTTCATTGTTTCCTGAGGCCTTAATTTGCATCAGATGCACAGCAGGATTCAAATCTGACAAAATATTAAGGTGGACAACAGGAAACTCCCAAGGTATAAACCCAGGGTTTTTAAAAATCCTACTGGAGAGGTTATACCTTCCTACATAGTAAGGCATAAGGCAATTCCTTATTGTCAAGAGCAAGAAGGAGAATTTTCTCAATAATATATGTTTATTTCTTTCTTACTTCCTTAAGCTTTCTCTAAACTTCTACTCACTAATGGTATGATGCTGGCAATCATGGTCTCCTGTGGTCTGATCCAACATGGTCATTCCTACAGCTCTAATCAGGATGGATATTCAATAAATAAAGAAGTCTTGGGACATGCAGAAGGAGGAAAGACACAAAGCATTCCAGGCCAAGGTCAGAAAGTCCCTATGAGCTCTCTCTTCCAGATTACTCACTGTATTTCCTATTTTCACACGGCTTACTCTTGCAGACTTTGGCTTGCCTGGTGCCTTTCTGTTTCATGGGCTTTTTTTTCCAGGTATTGACAATAGGTGTTTTGCCTTGGATGACAAGCATGACAAACTGTAAAGTCATGTCCTAGACATTCTGGTACATATCCTGGTGTGATCTCATTTTAAGGAATGTGATTGTGATTCCCAGCATTACAAGCTGAAATCAGGATTTGGTTATATCTGCCATATACCATGTGAAGTACTGTCTCTCTCCGAATTTCAGCTCATGCCAATACATCTTCACAGCCAGTGCTGGGAAACATCACCAATTACTGTGGCTGTTTACGGAACACAAGAACAGAATATTTAATTTTACCAGCCTCTTAGGACAGCAAAGCTGAATTTGAACTCTAGTTAAAGTTTTGCTGATTACTCCTGACCTTTCTGGGACAAAGACATGAAGGTCACTGGAGTCATGACTTTTTTCACATTCTGCTTGTCTTTGTCATTCCCCTAATAATGCGGAGGACTGGAAACAAGAGCTGGGTGGTGTTTTTTTCCCCCTGCCTGGAAATCTATTTAGATTAGTCACCAGGTTTTCCTGTCTACGGTCATTGAAGGTCATTTGGTTTACAGCTGAAATTCTCAATTGGAACCTCATCTTGTAATCAGAACTTAAAACCCAAGCGAGGTTTTGTATCTCCTCTGAAAGGGTAGGTTGTTGTGTGATTAGCTTCAGAATGTTAAATGGGCTGTCTGTGTAATGATGGGTAATTTTGGGGGGCTTAAATTGCTCTGTGAGAAGACCTGTCTTGAATAATAATACTGGACTATATTACAAGGAACAGTATTCTAGGCTTCTCCTAAATGCTAATTCTATTACACATTAACATTTCCTTGGCTGTAAAATGGCAAAAGGCAGGCCAGCAAGATGTAAAAATCTCGCAAAGTGCATTTTCACTTATAGACTGCTCCTAAGAGCAGGCCGTTTCCTGAAAACGTCCCTTAAATAAGCATCCACTTACAGTGGTCATCATCGTACAGTCAGCATCTGCTAATAGCTGTTCCACAGCCTTGGCTGCTGGCAAACACAGAGTATTTGTTGTAATCTATAGAGTGATGGAAATGCCTGTGTAATTTTTGCACTTTTTTTTACAAAAACTATTCTTGGCCCTAAGTACGAAGCAGCAGTCACACAATGGAGATGTACTCCTAGGGGCTGCTGACAAAGCCTGGTGTCCTGCATATTCTTTGGTTCTGTAGGACTACTGGTGAGCATCTGAAAGCCCTCTTAATTTTTTTGTTGATTGATTGATTATTTTAATGTCTCTTTGGTCCATGTGCTACTCAAACACAAATGTTTACATGTATGTGTGTGTATATATAACTAGTTAAAACTAAAGGCTCCTTGAAAGAAACAATCCACTCCTGCCATGATATTGTTATTGAGGATAGTATTTAGCTTTGTTAGGGGAAACAGGTTTTTTCACCAACATCTCCTGACATACAAGTTGACTTTTGATTTCTTCATGGAACTTTTATTTGCACTTCATTGCACTTGTTATTGCACTTTTGGTTCCCAGCTTCAGAGACTAACCAATGGGTGGCTTCAGCATGTTCCATCTCTCTATTTGCCCCACTTGCTGCCTCCCTTTCTGCTTCCATTTGACCTCCATGCGTGGATACAAGCAGGAGGTTATCCTGCATAGGGATGGGTGTGAGACACTTGCCCTGTGCAGGCAGGGACAGCTTGAGGAGTGTCTTCAGCTGGATATCACCCCAGAGTCCCCCAGCACCACACCATGACCTGAGATGTCAGCTCATTGCTTGTTCCAGCAGGCATTATTGTCACTCTTACTGGCAAGCCAGGCATTTCCAGAACATCTCTGTGGGCAGATGGTGCATCCCCATCTTGGCTCCATTCTTAAGGAGTCTGAATCATCACCCTTTGGAAACACCTTGATTCCTCTCTGGGTTTGCAGGAGCTGACACCATCCAGCTCTTAATCTCTTTTCCAGAAGCACTAAACTCTAATGCCAGATTACTTTTTTCCTTTATCTTCTTTAGCCACTCTACAAACAGAGCCTCTTTTGAGTGACTACTTTTATGTATTCACTTTACAGGCATTAAAAAAGTTCCATGGATGTCAGAATAGTTCACTCCAATAGATTCCAGCTCAGCAAGTCCACCAGATTCCCAGAGTTTGCAGAGACCACCACAAAGATGAATGCAGCCCTACTCTCCATGGTTTTCAATAAACAGGGATCCAAATTATGCTGCTGTTGCTTCACCTCTCTCTGATGCGAAGATGATGGAAAAGTGAATATCTGGAAAAAAACCCAGCCACATAAGGAGTTAATACCATTCACAGCTTACCTGTGGTTTTCAGTTGTCATTAGCCAAACAAGACCCTGACTACTTTGGAGAACAAAAGGCAGCAAAGTCATTAAACAATCTTCTTCTACTCAAATTAATTTCATGAGTCAGATACATCCCAGGGATCTGGGCCTACATTTCTAAAGAAGGTTATTTTGCTGAGGCCAGGCTGACTTTTCCAGCTAGCTTCCTTTCTCCACAGCTGAGATCTCAAAATAAATAAAAATCAGTTTAACTCATGTTAAAAGGGCACCTTTTAACTCTATGTAGCCAGACCCATCAGCCACCTGCCTCTCTCAGGCTGGCAACCAAGTACCAGCATGCTGGAAAATGCGTTTACTTTTTGATGAAGTACAGACCTTAAAAAGTTAAGCTGGATACAAGGTTCATGACAAGCAAGGTCTTTTGCAGACAGAAACATGCAGCTGCAGAAAGGGCCTGCTTGCAATGAATTGCAGGAAGGTTATGGTTTGAGATATTTTACTTTTTAATAGGCCATGGAGTCTCCTGGATCTATGTGGCCACTACACTGGCTCCAGGGGTCACGTCTCCAGCAATAGTGTAGGTAGCTGTGTGCTCCCTTCTAGCACACAATTTAGTTGATACTCCTGAACCTAATGAATTTTGGCAGCAGGAATGATAATAGCAGACAATTGTTTGTCTCCAGTCCCTAAATTTTGTTAGAGAGTTAAAATAAACCTGTCTGCTCCACTAGTCTCATGTTCAACAAAACAAAAATAAGCCTTCACAAAGAATCATTTTCAAGCGCCATTTTACTTTGTGTCTTAGGCTCACAAATGCCTTTCATGTTTTCTGATATGTCAGCTATCATAATGAAAAACAAATAACCAAGTGAAACAAACAGACATATTCTCTAGGTGGCTTGTGATGTAGAAAAAAGAGCCTTCTGCCACTTCCCTTACCTCCTTCCTAGTATTTTTTTTCCCTTTCTAAGGCTTGCAATGGATGCTTCTTTGTAGCATGGGCATGAAACACTATTGCTATTTTAGTACTGTACAGTTTTGCAGCATTTTGGAGCCCAGTCACAGCTCAGGACCCCCTGTGAGTTAGACATCGTGCAGACAGAACAAAGTCAGCCCCGGCTGTGAGGACAGCCCATCCCACACTGCACCTCCCATGGCCACAGGAGACTCACATTGTAAATGTTGATGCATTCAACACATCTGCCACACATGCAGATCATGGAGACAGTGACATTGCCTGAGACACTGGGGGGTTGGCAGCAGTGCCTGTTGGTTGCTAAATACATCATTCAAAAGGAGCCAAAGCTTAAAGCTGATGTTTGTTGTATGAATGCAGCTTTGGAGGATCAAGGGAGTGCAGCAGGACTTGTTAGGTCAAACATTTAAAAGTCCCCCAAGTAATGTAGGAAGTCACAGCCTTAATTTCAGAAGTGAAGTGGAATTTAATTTCAAGGAACAAAGAATTTAGGACATTTTTGCAAGGAGGGAGAGGCTCCCATTTCACTTTCCAAAATATTACCCCTTCTGTTTAAAAAACCCCTCCCCACATACAGACCCATTCCTGAAACTCAGAACAGACAAAAAGCAGCAGTAACTCCCTGCTGATTAGACCAGCACAGTGCTTGCCCACTAACAAGAGCCAGAGAAGAAAAATCCCTGTTATAAAAGGTCCTGCAATGGGACATTTTTTCCTTTATCAGGAAGGGAATCACAACTAAATTTTACTGCAGCCAAATTAAACTAAAAACTAAAATCTTGCCCTCCTATGGTCCCTATCTCTAGTATTGTTGCTTGACTTTACACTGAAGCTATCAAACAAAATTTCAAAATGGCATAGGACCAGTGACCTACTATTTAGCATCAGCATTTTTTCCACAAAAGCAAACCTGTTTCTGCTAGAAATAGCTACAGGCTATTTGACTGATTAATTTTTGTTTGAATTAATATTTTTTGATCAAAATAAAATCTTATAAATAACAAGTTACCCAAAAAATCTATTAAAGCTCTTCCTAGAAACAAAGCATATTTTTTTTAAAGTAGGGATCATAAATAAAGGCTGTCATTTCTTTTTTCTATGAAATTATTGGGGCAATTAAATATATTAAGGAAAACAAATTTCTCCTAGAAAACTCAGAATTTTGCCCGTCAAAAAAATAATAACAGAGTAATTAATTCTAGAAAGAT